CTTCGTATTAGTGACAAACTTTGGTGTTTTTTGACGAGTTACTTTCATTTTTGCTTCTACTTGTCATTTAAGATATGTTTCCATTCTTGGGAGGTTTCTGAATTTCTTCTTCTACATATTAAAAAAGTTGTTAAACAACTGAGTGGTGCACTACTGCTACTAGTGGTGAGAAGATGTATTGCACCTTATTCAAAATCAATGCAGTCCCGCGGCCCTCTGCAGCCCAAAGTTAAAAACTGTTGTTCTTTTGGGGCCCTCAAGGTGGCGCTCACGTCCCACAGTTGGGCCGTGGCCCATGGGTTAAGAATCTCTGGTCTAGGGTTAATAGAAGTTAAATTTAGGGTCTGGGACAGTTAGTTGTCATGCATTTCCTACTCAAAAATATGACAATGCGCCCCTCTGCCTCTGTCTCATCTCGTCAATAACTGACTCGAGGGAGTTACCCGACGTGTCAAAACTGGACACATGCGGTACCTGACCAAGCGTCAATATGTGACGAGTTGAGAATGGGTGCATGTCAGTGCATACGAGTACCACTTGTGCTGTTGAGGGCGAGTTGACCTCAAGGTCCATGTCTACTGGACCAAAAGCTGCATGATGATGCTTCGAAAATTCTTGTTTTACCAAGACAAACAGGTCTACTGGTCTCAGGTCTCAGTGAGGGGGTGTTTATGTTGACCTGAGATCCTGCTGCTCCACTGTGTCAGCTTGTATTTCTTTTAACGTTAATTATTTCTTTTAACCATTCTTTATTGCTTTAATATAGAAATTGATTAGGAAAATAATTTGTATAGCAAAGATCAACTAAAACAATCAATTCTGCTGATACATTATTTCCTAATGTTACATTTAAGAATAAAAAAACAAAACAGTGAGTGCTGTGATGCCTGCTCATGACTGGACTTTTGCCTTGACTGAGATTCTTCAGGTTTGGTCGTCCGGGAGTGGAGTGCTACTGTCAGCATGAAAGTGGAGCAGCTGTCATCCAGCTACAGTTTCTCATCAATGAGGTAGGCTACATAACTACATTCTCTAAAAGAAGCTCATCTTAAACAAAAACTACAAAACTTGGTTTTGTGTTTTATTAAACGTAAGGAATAAAGGACAATGTCTATTAAATGGTTAAATATAAGCCAGTGGTATAAATTATCTTCAGGCCTTTCTGTGTCACTTAAAGCCAACCTGGTTATGTTTGGAATCCTATTTGAGATGTGCAGTATTTCAATTTGTGTGTGTATGTGTGTGTGTGTGTGTGTGT